GTCGCATTGATGATCAGACAGTGTGCATTCTCTCTGTGGAGTTCTACATGTTTATCAGACTGGCCTTTGCATGTTGCCCAGGCTGACCTTGAACTCCTGAGCTCAAGCAGTCTTCCTGCCTCAGCCTCCTGAGTAGCTGAGAGTGCAGGGCTGCCACTGTGCCAGCTCAGGCTGACATGAGCGAGAGTCACACCTCTTCTGCCATTCTCTTCTGTCAGACCTGTTTCCAGACCAGTGTGGACATTTCCCCTGATTGGATTTGTCAAAGCCACTGAGTCCTGGGCATTTGCTGAATGTCTACTCAACGTTATCAGGTACATACAAGTGCCTGCTGTCCTGCTTCCTCTGAGTGGGTTCTTTGTTCACTTTGAGGTATCCTTCTTTGTTTCTTTTAACCCTTCACCTTTAACTCTGGACACAGATTTCACACTTTTCTTTCTCTTAGTAACTTCCTGGTATATTTTCCAAGATATACTTAGAACCATCTTTTTTTTTCCCCCTCTAAGGAATAGTTTTTATCATCAGAATTATAGTTGCAAATCTAATATGAATGTTTACTTTGGTCAGACATCATCTCAAAATATTTTGATAAATCATATAAATCCTTTAAAACTCAGCTGAATAGATGCTGATTGTGCCGGTAATCCACAGCTTACAAACTGGAGCATGCTGCTCGTTTTACTCCTTCACACTTGGCTCCGGGCCTGCTGGTCCAGGGGCCTTCCAGAGCCCAGCTGAAGTACAGCATAACCACCCTGCCCACTCCAGGATGCAGGCCTCATCACTGGGAGAAAATGACTAAGAAAATCTCTCAAAGTACTTTCTTATGTGAGAAATCAGTATTTCCTTCTTTTTGACTCTCATGTAATTATTTTAAAAGATAAATTCTACCTGGACAAATATAGACAAACAGTTTATATTTCGCTTTAGATGCAGGCTTACAGAAAATGTGGTTGATTGGAGGCATCCCAATGCCTGGTTTCAAGACACGCTGCAGAGCCACAGTAAGCAAAGCCACATAGTACTGGCATAAAAACAAACTCATGGACCAGTGGAGCATAACAGAACCCAGAAGAGAACCCACCCATGTGCAGCCAGCTGAATCTTAACAGTGCCAAAGTTATGCATTGGAGCAAGGACATCTTCCTCAACAAACAGTGCTGGGGACACTGGCCACCACATGGAGGAGATCAGACTTGGCCCCCATCTCTCATCCGAAACAGTCAACAGGTAAAGAGGCAGCCTACAGGATGGAATATGTCCAGCTCTTCATCCGACAGGGTGAATAGCAGAATATGCAAGGAACTCAAGAAACTTAACAGAAAGTGATTCAACTGAAAAATGGGCAAATTTCTTCTTTTCAAAAGAAGAAATACAAATGGCCAAGAAATATATGAAAAAATGCTCCATGTCACGAGCTATCAGGGAAATGCAAATCAAAACTGTAAGAAGATACTATCCCACCTTAGTTAGAATGGCTATTATTAAAAAATAACAAATACTGTCAAGATGTGCAGAAAAAAGAACTTTTATATGCTGTTGGTGGAAATGTGAATTAGTTACAACCACTATGGATAATAGCATGGAGGTTCCTAAAAAATCTAATAAGCTGGGCATGGTGGCACATGCATGTGATCAGTGAGTTGAGAAGGCTGAGGCAGGGGGATCCTAAGTTCAAGACCAGCTTCAGCAACTTAGTGAGACCATCTCAAAAAAAAAAAAAAAAAAAAAAAAAAAAAAAAAGGCTGGGTATGCAATTCAGTGGTAGAATGTCCCTGGATTTAGTCCGAAGTCTACAACCCCTCAGAAAACAACTTGAAAATAGATCTACCATGTGATCCCGCTGTCTGACTTCTGGGTATATATTCAAAAGAAATGAAATTAGCATATCGAGGAGATACCTTCACACCCATGTTTATTGTGGCACTGTTCACCATAGCTGAGTTGGAATCAGCCTGGGTGCCCATCAACATGCATGGATAAAGAGAATGTGGTCTATATACACTGTGAAGTATTATTTAGTCATAAAAAAGAATGAACACCTGTCATTTATAGCAAAATGGATGGCAGTGGAGGTTGTTAAGTAAATACCCAGATTCCGAAAGGCAAGTACTGCAGGTTCTCTATATAGAAACTAAACAATTTTGACCTGAAAGTGGAATTACCAGAGATTGGGAAGTGGGTGGGGGGCAGAGGGAGGCTGGACTTGATCAGTGCACACTGAATGCATGTCCTCAAATATCACACTGAACCCCATTAATATGTACAACTAGTGCATGTTCATAAAAATAAACTTTTAGGGCTGGGGATATAGCTCAGTTGGTAGAGTGCTTGCCTCACATGCACAAGCCCTGGTTTCAATCCCCAGCACCACAAAAATTAAAAATAAACTTGTGGTTCATCTTAAATTGCATTGTAAAGCCTCTTGAAGTTTTGGGAGAAAATTAGAGTATTTATATGCAAATATGGCTTCTGAGTGTAGGTGATAGTTGCAAATGACAGATTGCTTTGGTCAAATTCACTTGGAGTATGATTAGGTGGAGTGTTAGAACTACTGCAGATGATCCTGAAGCTAAACTGGTGGCAGTGGGGCACCTATGCTGCTTCTCCTCCTGGCCTTGAGTTAAATATAAACTACTATAATTAAGCAAAAAGAGACACAATTTTAAAAAGGCTTGAGTACACGTTTCTCCATAGATGCTCATGTGGATGCCAGTAATTCTGCTCCATCATTAGACAACTGCACATCAGAATCAAAGAGGAGCTTCATCTGGTTGGCTATTATCAATAAGCAGAAAGTAACAAGTGGCGGCAAAAACATGGAAAAATTGGAACCCTGTGCCTTGTTGGGGGCAATGCAAAACAGTGCAGCCACTGTGGAAAAAGAGTATGGTGGCCTCTCAAAAAGTTGAACAGAATACCATATGCTCCCCAAATTGCCAAGTAGAAACTGGAAAGAATTGGAAATGGAACCCAAACTGACAGCTGTCTGTGAACTTCCACAGTGGACTTCTCCCAGAGGCCTCAAGTGGAGCAGTCTGAGTGCCATCAGCAGGTGATGGTGAATGAAGTGTTCTGTGTACACCCAAGCTTGGCCAGCCATTAGGAGTGAAGTCTGACACCTGCTACAACACAGTGCCCTCTTACCAAAGAGTGCAGCTCTCTGGGGACAGGAGCCATGAAGAGGTGGGGAGTAGACTGTGGGTGCCAGGGGGTGGAGGTTAGTGTTTAATTAGGACAGATTCTGTCTGGAATGATGGAAAAAGCCAGTGGTGATCCCTGCAAAATGAGGTGAATGTTCTTGACGCCACAGAACACTTCACATAGTCACAATGGAAACTCTGTATATTTTACCACAATAAAAAACATGACCATCTTGGGGCTGGGTTGTGGCTCAATGACAGAGCACTCGCCTAGCACGTGCGAGGCCCTGGGTTCGATCCTCAGCACCACATAAAATAAATAAAATAAAGGGATTGTGTCCAACTACAATTAAAAAAAAAAAGTCCATTCTAATTGAAGCCAAGTTATACTCTATGTATGTATGATATTTCAAAATACACTCTACTGTCATGTATATCTAAAAAGAACAAATAAAATCAACCTATACTTGAACAGAGTGCTATGCTTTAAAAAAATAAAATGCAAGTTTCCAAGTATGGGGTTGCAGACATAGCTCAGTTGGTAGAGTGCCTTCCTAGCATTTGCAAGGCCCTGAGTTCAATCCCCAGCACCACCAAAAAAAAAAATCCAAATATGGGGGCTGGAATGGTGGCTCAGTGGTGGAGCACTCGCCTAGCATGCACAAGGCACTGGGTTCGATCCTCAGCACCACATAAATGTAAAATAAAGATATTGTGTCCACCTAAAAAATAAATATTTAAAAAAATCCAAATATGCACAAAAATGGAGAGAATAGAATAATAAACTCCCAGTCCCTGGAACTCTGTTCCCAGAGTGACTTTGTTCACCCATTCTCCCGTCCTCTCGGTCATTTTAAAGCAGTTCCCAACATCTGTCTCACAGACTCTCCAAGAAGCAAAGGGCTGTTTAAAATGTAACCCCCCGTCACAGTCACTGTGGAATACAGCCATTCCTTGACACTGTTTCTGCCCAGGTCCTCCTGTCAGCTCACAGATGTCTTTACAGCTGGTTTATTTGAATTGGGATCCAAATATTCATTTGCTTGACAGCACTTAAATATATTTTAATCTAAAATAGTTTCCAAGCCCTTTCTCTTTTTCTTGCCATTTATTTATTGAAGAGGTGATAATTTGTCCTGTTCTCTGTAAATTTCTGCACATTCTGTATTTTGCATATTCATGGTGGTGACTAACATGCCTTGTTGCCTGTATTTCTTGTGAACTGTGGCAAGGATGGGCTCGGTGGAGTCCAGGCGGGAGGCCTGTGGCACTGTTCCAGGGCTCTGTTTTGTGAGGCTAAGAGTGCCCTTGTGCCCAGGTGGGCCATTAGAATTGGGGCCTTTTGAAGAGTGGAGAGCAGCAGGGTGTCAGGAGCAGGGACCACTGCTGCCCTTGCAGGGAACAGCTCCTCATCATACCTCGTACAGAGCCATCTCAGTGACCACACCTAACACCTGCCTGGCCACTGGACGCTCACCAGTGTGTGGGAGGGCAGGGCCTGCCTTTGTTGAACAGTGTAGATGCCACTGCCCATACACTTCAAGATGGTTAAAGTAGTACGTTGTATGTTAATGTCACTTTTATCACAATAAAACATTGTGGCTGCTTTTACAATTTGGTCAGACATGTTGAGAATTGATTTCGAAAAGCTAAATGAGAATACACGTACAGGGTGACTACTATTGGGGAAAGTGAACCCCTGTTTCTATCACAGGCACCCCTTAAATGGTGACATCTGAAAGCCATGTATTTTGAAGTAGTGTACATAGCTCCTTTTAGGGACCTTTTGTGCCTTTGAAGATAGCACTGTTCACATCTTAAGAATTCAGTACATTAATGATCACTTCTCGACTTTAGGAATTTGAGAGTGTGTTTTGCGGTAAAACTGGCAGAAGGCTAAAGCTGACCAGACCGGACTCCTTGGTGGCCTGTCCTGCACAGGGCAGTCTGCAGAGCAGCCCTGCGATGGAGATCAAGTGACGGACTGAACAGGGACCCTGGGAGTAAACAGCCGTTCCTGCGATGCACGCACCTGTTCCACCACCCTGGAGCTCCACCCTGGTCGCCTGACATGAGAAGGACCTGGCTCAAGTTGATGGGACTCCAGTAGGGACTTTGGAAGCACATTTTGTAAAAGTATTTATCTAGAACAAAATACTTCTCCATTAATGTCCTCTTAGACCTTTTGGGGATGAAGACATCTTGATAATGAGTAAGTCATTTTTCAATTATCTGTCTGATTCCATCATGTTTTTTTAACATGATAACTTGAAAAATTAACATCCTTTCTAATTTCTTTAGTCTTAAAAGGTACATTGCTTTTTACTTATTTTATTTACATTTTAAAAATGCCCCCTTAGCAATTGGAAGAAGGTAAATTGTTCTTAACTACTAGTTTGGAAATTTTATTTCATTTGTTATATCATTCCCCCTTGTAATTATTTCCAGTCTCATGTACTCTGTATTGCAAAATACAGTACTATTTTAAAACTTTTGCCAAAAAATTTCCAGAGACTTTCTTTAAAGCTACTTTTTTTCCATAAAAAATAAAACATTTTCTCGGTAGATTGCTTAAATGCCCACATTTTCATATTGCCAGTCATTACTTTGCTTGTAATAAACTGCATGTTTGGAGCGGAGTTTCCAGTGCGTGGCTTTATTTATTACGACAGGTGATCCGATAGACCTTAGCACAGGCACCTTCAATAAATACTGTCAGTTGGAGACGCGAGTTTGTACAAAGAAAGCAGGTAAAGCGGATGGACTTGTGTAGAGGGACACAGTACATGGAATTATCTGGTTTTGTTATACCATAACCTGTCACTGATCTGAAGATTGAATACGTCATTTTATTGGGATCGTGTCGGGGTCTTTACGTGGGTGTGATGTAAACAAGTTGCCGAGTGTCTTGTAGCTTGTGGGTCGTAGGCAGGTCTGTACACAGAACCTCACGTCCCTCCAGGCGTGGGCTTCGTGTCCTCCCAGAGGGCGTGTGTCTGAGGTATGCTGTCGCAGGTGGACGGCCCCTGTAAATACTGCAGAGACAGGCCGTGGCCATGTGCCAGCCTCCGAGGCCTCCTGGCTGACAGGCCAGTGGTGCCCGCTGCTCCTGATAGCCAGGCCGCGACCCTGTCAGAGCCTCTTGCTCAAATTGCCACCGACGCTTCTGGTTTCCTCAAGTTCTCCTTCACGAGCTCCGGGCACCTGACTTTTCTCCGCCCCCTCCCAGCACGGCTCCTTGACAGGCTGAGGTGTCACAGATCCCTGGAGTCCCCTGAGCCCCGACTGCGCCAGGAAGGCCCGGATCACCAGGAAGCCCAGGCTCTCCATGAGCACCATCTCGGCCGTCTTTGCTGATGCCAGGCACACCCTGTGGCCCTGGAGACAAGGAGGCCGGAATTAGAGGCCACAGGGCCTGAGGAGAGGCAGTAGTTCACATTTGCTGGCCACACCAGCCCGCCTTTTTGCACTGGTTATCTCCCAACTGTGCGACATCCCAAGGGGAGGACAGCTGGCCAAGAGGCTGGCAGGGCTGCAGGTGGGTGGGAGGGGCAGGTGTAGGGGAGGTGGGGCACAGTCAGCCAGGTGGCGGAGTCTAGGTGGCCCTGAGGGTGCAGCCCGCTCCAGCGTGAAAGGCTCTGCCAGGTGCATGTGAAGAGTGGATTTGGGGTGAGCGAGCGAGGAAGCGGGTGTGGCAGGGAAGGGGCTGGGGTGGCCTGGGGTGGCCTGGGGGGCAGGGGGTGCCCGACAGCCACCTGCAGGTGCTGTGGTGCTGCTTGCAGGTGCTGTCCACCGGGCCACATGTGTGACACTTAAGGCCACACTGGTGCAGGGACACAGGGTGTGCGAGGAGGAGGGGTGTGGTGGCTGCTCTGCCCCCTGAGGTGTCCAGAAGCCTGGTGTCCAGCTCTAGCGGCCCTGCAGGGCTTGTCATGCCCACACTAGGAGGCTGCGAGGGGCTCAGGACATGGGGGCTGGCTGTGGCTGGGGACAGCAACACTGCCTCCCTCATCAGAGTGTCCACTTTGAACATTAAAATGGACGCATTCAATGTACATGTGGGTCAATTAGGAGAAAATTCTGTTTGACCAAAATAGATACTAAATAGCTTTCGTTAGACAGGATTTAACCAAACCTACTTAGCTGAAACGGATAAGGAAGATGTGATGATTGATTGGACTTCTGCATAGTGAAGTGCTCTTTCCCCCGTACTAGCGACTGAACCCAGGGGCATTTTACCACTGAGCTATATTCCCAGCCCTTTTATTTTCTCACTTTGACCCAGGTTCTTGCTAAGTCGCTGAGGTTGCCCTCAGACTGGCCCTCCCCTTCCTCCCTCCCATGTAGGGGGTCACAAGCCCCCAGCTGATGCTAAAGTGGTTATTCAGGGAGTTCCTAATCTTGCCTCTAAGAATGCCTTGCCAAGCCAGGCACAGTGGCCAAGCCTGTGATACCTGTGGCTTGGGAGGCTGAGGCAGGAGGATCTTGAATTCAAAGCCAGCCTCAGCAGCTTAGTTAGGCCCTAAGGCAACTTAGCGAGACCCTGATGAGACTCTGCCTCTAAATAAAATATAAAAAAGGGCTGGGGATGTGGTTTGGTGGTCAAGCACCCCTAGGTCCAATTCCAGATTAAAGAAAAAAACCCACAACATTTCCTTTTAAGAAAATGAGACATGTTCATAACCCCAGTATTCCCCCATGTAAACCCCGTGAATGACAGTGGCCTCCTACCTTGGAGCCCCTGGTCTCCGGCAGGCCCGTCCAGCCCTGCACCTGCTGCACCCTTGTCTCCTCTGTCACCCTGGCTTCCTGCGAGGAGGGAGGACATAGGTGCATGGTTAGAACCGCTGCCACAACCACACAGTGACAGTGCTGGACCCCACCTCATCACAAATAGGGGCCACCTTTTACAAGCTTTTTACTGCAGCAGAGCTCTTCAGGGAAGGGCAGGTGTCCCCACCTAGTCTGCGGGCAGCAGGAGCCTCCTGACCTCTGGCAGCCACTCTGATGGCAGCCTGGTTCTGTTTCAGCAGTTGTGTGTTCGTTTGGCAATCGTGGTTTCTGTATGACCTTTGAACCATAAGTGACCTGAGAGTGATCTAAAATGTCCTTAGTTGCCGTACTCAAGTCTTAGGTGTCTGTGTTGGGTCTGTGTGAGCCACGGAGACAGAGGGATGTGTTAAAACCTGTCGTGACAGAGGTGTGTCAACACTGGTCTTGGGGGATCTGGAGCCGGGATGTTGAGGGCACAGTGACCCCGGGAGTCTGCCCTGCAGACTGAACCTCGGTCAGTGCTGCTGCGCCGTGAGGCAGAGGCTTTCCTGTGTGGGTGTGTCCCTGTGCCGACGGTGTCAACACGGCCTCTGTTCAGCTGTGATCTGTGGATGCATCTCAGTGCTGTAGCTGCTGAAGTGGATGAGAAGCCCAGGCAGGACTGGCAGTCGATCCCGAGCCATCACTGCCATCCGGTGGGGGACGGCTCCGTGGCCCTAGAGTTGCAGACTGGCCTCCCTGGCAGGCAGTGGCTCCAGTGGCCTGGATGCTCCAGGGAGCTGTCTGCCTGCTGTGTCCTGGTGGGGTGCTCCCACCCCGCACCCTGCTTGCTGGGAGGGCAGATGGAGGCACAGCCAAGGCCCAGTCCTGAGTGCATGTTGTGAACTGCACAGTGACCTCCGGACATCCCCAGGTCTGCTCTGCCGATGGAGACAGAGGCCCCCAGCGCAAGGTGCAGAAGCACAGTCTGCAGGGTTTGCCCTCCTTCAGACAGAAACAGGGCTGACCCGGTCCCAGGGACGTCCTGTGATGCCCGCGTCTCTGCCGTGGCCTTTACTTTAACAACACTGCAAACTGCTTTTCTCAGACTCTGTAAAGGTGATTATGTGGTGTTTGGATTTTCTTTTCCCAAAACTCTAGAAGAAATTTAGGTCTCTGCTTGGAGAAAATCTTATCTGGTCTGTTTTTAAAGCGTGCAGTTTCTTGTGTGGCACTAGACAGCACAGAAAGCATGAGAAAGTCATGATCTAAGGTGACCAAGGACAGTGGTCTGGGCCAGCAGCAGCATGTGGACAGGTGAACTGACGTGTTTGCCCTCTGTGTTGAGCTTCCTCAGTCTCTAGGGATCCTAACAAGTGAAATGTCACTGCTGACTGGAGGATCTTCCACTTGCTAAAGCATTTACGATGCATCTCGGACGTGTGCAAGGACCTCAAAAAACATCTCCCTTTGGAACGTCCTGAGCTGTTTCTGAGAAGCAGAGGCGGCTGGTCCGCTGCTGGAATCTGAGCTTCAGACCCTGGCTGGCCACAGGCTAGATGCTTCCCATGAGCATTCTAAAACGGAAAGGGCTGTGCTCTTGGTGCCCACGTCACCTCAGGGCACCCGGCCCCTACTGGGCCAGGCCTCCACTGCCCACATAGGACCTGTGCCTCCTGCCCAAGTTAGGACTTTGACTCTCATGATTCCTGAAGTGGAAGAGTCCTGAATTTTTATTCTCTCCTTTTGCTACAAGACACCTTCCTGTTGGCAGCCTACCTTAAGTTGTGTGCCTCCAGGTATAGGGGGGCTGCTGTGCATCCGCTCCCCAAACTGCGGTCCACCCCTCCCCACCAAATGTTGTTCAGATGGTATTTGAGAAAAATATCACAATAAGAAAATGTCCTAGTTCCTGCAGGATTGGTGAGGAATTAACTGTGCTGGGCCCTGAAGGGGTGACGGTCCAGCCTCCAGGAGCCACCCTGGAGGACCCACACCTGCTGGCCAACGGCTGGACCTTCTGTGTTCTCACAGCACTCCTAGATAAGCCCTGCTGCTGGGGGCCTGGACGTGCCCGCCAGGCTCTGGGCTGGGTGAGGGGAGCTCGGCCCAGGCGGGCCTGGCCTGGGCTGCCCTTGGGTCCTCCTGTGCCTCCAGAGGGGACGCCTCAGTGTGGAGGGGCAGCTTTCATACTGTCTGGGTTTCCTTATGCAGCTGGGACAGAGAGTCCACTACTCACCTCTGGGTCCAGGGTCTCCCAGCTCCCCAGTGGGACCACGATATCCAGGGGGTCCTCGAGCACCAGGGTGGCCGATGGAGCCGGGAGGACCTGGGGGCCCTGGGGGGCCGGCTGGACCAGGTCGCCCGATGGAGCCTGGTGCTAAAGGCTTCCTCAGGTGCGCTGCTAACTGTGCGATTTGCTCTTTTGGAAGACAGGGACAAGCGTCAACTTCAGAAGGATCAGACACGCTCACGGACAGCATGAGGAAGTTTTTGCATATTGACTAAAAGTGGTTTTAACTGTTTTGGGGGACCTTGAGGGCTACATGGGAGAACCCCCCTTCCTTGGAGTGCCTTCAATTCTAAGAATCAGAGAAGCAAAGAACGGCCACTGGGGAGCACCTAGGGAAGTGTCCCTCCAGGGCACAGAGGTTTGTCCACAGCACGCAGCACTCAGCAGACACCTAGGGCATCTCTGTGTGCCACCAGGCCGAGCCTCCCCTAGTATAGAGGCAGGAGCTCAGGTGTGGACACCAAGGATCCAGAGGTGGGGTGGCAGGGGGTGACTGAGGAGCAGCAGGCTGCATGGACCCAGGCTCTGGGACCCAGGGGCAGGGAAGGGGACAGCAGGGGACATACCGCTTATCATTCCCCCACACAGCTCTCT